ACACATAGACAACTTTCACAAAATTTGTGAACACTTGAAGTGGCCAAGTCACTGGACTTGATATCACATAAATAATAGTAAATTAAAAAAAAATCTAACACGGCCGCCGTAACAAAATGGCAGTATATAGGTAGATATTTCTGAACAACCCATCCAATAAAGTGTACAAATGTGTATACAACAAGTTAAACTTGTAGTATACACATCAAATAAAATGCTTATTTAAAAAAAATACTAGATAAATATCAATTTAGTATTGTCAAAGCAAAATATATCAAATATAATAAGCCTTTCTTTGCTTAAGGTATTCTTTCTGTCAACTTGCGGGTAAGTAGAGAGAACCGAGTGCCATAATGATGCGGTGCTTACACACGTTCTTCGCTTTCATGACGTTCATAACTCTTTTCATGCACGCTTGCCGGTTTTTATGGCTTCTGACTGAAGCGAGTCTTATAGACTTTTATATCCTTCCGCTATTCCATTATATACGTTTCCTCATTCTTTGTTTCGGGATTATTTCTACATGTCCGTACCTTATTAACTTAATAACAATACTCAATATATGTAGTATATGTATATCTATCTACTAATATTATAAAGAGGGAAGGTTTGATTGTTTGTTTACATCAAATAGGCCCTAAAACTAATGCATCGATTACAAAAAAATTTTCTCCTACGGGAAGCTACATTATATGCGGGTGACACACGCTATATTTTACACACAATATCGCGGGAAAACAGCTAGTTTATTATATAGTACGAGTAATATACTTATATTTCAAACTATAACTTAAATTCTGCTGTCGACTGTCGTAAGTGGCATTTTCGAGTCGCAAGAGTAAGAGTACACAAATAAAAATGAATTGGCGATCGCTTTTTTAACTTTTCATATTATTTTAGTCTTTGTATAAATCATAACGTTTTGTATTTTTCTTTTAATTTTAAACTTTTCCTTCTCTTTGTTTGTATATTATGTAATTAAATAATTGTTTATATGTTATTTTTTCTGTATATATTTTTCTATATTAACTTATTGTATAATTAATGTGCCGTTTGTTCCGCGTACCCACAGGCTCTGCCTGAATACTAGCGTTGGTGTGGCACTCATGTGTGTCATGCCAACATCAGCTGAGGCAGAGTCCTGATTGATCTTTTAAAAGTTTTTGTTATTTTTCGTCCTCTGTGTATCTTATGTATTATGTGTTCCTTTAATGTACGTTTTTGTTTTCTTTTTATTTGTTCTTATTTTGAGATCAATAAATGTTTCTTATTATTATTTTTATTCTTGTTATTCTTATTCTTATTTATGTTCTTGTTATTATTATTATTTACTGTTGGTGTACTACGGTATCCTTCAAGTGTCCTTTATCATATCGAATTTTCTGGTAGAGATATCTGGTAGAGATAATTATAAGACTGACTGCTCGTCCTAGAATTAAGAAACTTTTTAAGACGAGTTATAGTTACACTTTACTTTTTTAGTATAATTCATTAAATCACTAGATTAGGTTATTTGTATTCTTTTCTTAATAGACGCTATTTATTAATATTATAAGAAGGTATATATGACATAAAATGATTAAATGTCTAATACCATGGCCAGTATTATAAGTATATTATTATTCAGTTTTGTTTTGTAAAGAATAACTTGTGTAAACGATAAATTTTTACTTTTATGACTATAAATAACTTGAATATTTAAAGCGGATCTCATATGCCGCCGACTTGATCCAGCGTGTGAAATTTTTTACACGTTTCTGAATATCTTCGATCGTATAGAATTGTAGAGCTCACTGTAGTAACAGCTGTTGAATAGGATCAAATATGTAGAGGAAAATTTTACTAGAAAATGTCTTGCATTTCATACGTTACATTCAGTTTATGATTCGAGAAAAATCTAAGAATTATAGTTGACGATATCAAAGAAGGTCGAGGCCAGGCTACCAGGTATTTATTAAGGAAAACACCTAAATTCACCGGCACAATCGTATATGTTGATTCTTTCTGAAGTTTTCTTATATTCTAAAATTGTGAATATTAAAACTGAGAATTTGAATGTAAATTGCCAAAAAGGTTTGCGTAGCAGGTCAACAACATATATGATATTGAATGACGAGTATAAGACCTCTATTATTGTATTCCATATGAGTCCACTGCCGACTTCAAAGCCTTCGTCTTGTCAGGTATTATGGAAAAACCCTAGACCCAGTGCTCGATCGGTAAAGTATAAGAAATGAATAATTTTATACCTATAAGAGAGACCCAATGATTTTACAATAGAGATGAGGAGAAACAACCCTTAAATTTCTCGAAATTTAAAAACCCGTTAGCAAGTTGGTGTAGTATCACCATAAACCGCATGCCTAATGCAACTTGCTAATGGTTTTTACATTTCGAGATATCAGGGTTTGTTTAACACACCTCTATTTTAAAACTATTCTGTCTCACCTACTAATGTTATTTGTTTGTTTATATTGAATAAGTTCAGAAACTACGAAAGATTTTTTAAATTATTACACCTTCAGGAAGTTAGCGTTAGAACGCGTTTATCATAAGCTATTATATTATTTACAAGGGCGAAGTTGTAGGAAAACAGCAAGTTATAATTAAGGTCATGACAACCACAGTTGGGAGTATTCGCCAGGATAAAGCGCTAAAAGTCGCGAAGATTTGAGATGAGTGTACATTTCAATTATTTTCTTTAATTTAAATGTTAACAATATTGTTGTTTAATATTAATTTTTTTACGTGGAATTTTGCTTATATTCGGCTTTTAAATGTAACCTGATAAGCCATCTTCATATTTCCTGCTACCGCAAAGGTCAGATGTTGTGAGTGATGACAGATGACATCTCACACTACCTTGCTTTTAAGAAAAGACAGATCGCTGACAAAACTTATTTGCCGTGAGAAATATAAAACTATCATTAATAATAATATTATAAGTATGTTTACTGAATACTGAACGCACCTATATAAAAACTAATTAATAAATAGATTACTATTTCCAGTAGTAATCTATTAGTAATAATATATAAATATGAAGCATTTTAAAATTACTACCTATTAAATATTCAACTAATTGGCAGACGAAAAATTTTGGCTAACATTTTCCTGACTACGTTTTATCTTATCTCAAATAAAAATAAAGAAAATTCTCTTTATTCTCAGACAAACTGGTTAAAGCATGTAGGTCAACACATATAGTATATATAGCTGTATTCTGTTGTGGAGACTAACTGAGGCTATCTAGATGGCCTAGCTGTAGATAACAATACCTTACAATCCCGTCTTAGACTGTATCGAGATAAATATATAGGAAGGCTAAGCCGCGATTTTATATGAAACACAATACAGGAAACAATATTTCGGTGAAACGTATGTTTTGTATATCATCACCAGTTGCTGGGGCTCAGGCCTTATTTATGGATGGAATCTAATTGAATAGGGCCATGACCCACCACACGGGTCCAAAACAAACAAATACAAATAACTTTATTTGCCCTAAAATATAGTAATAAGTTCGTATATACAGATTAAAATAGTTGCTTGTTGAGCCAATGGAGTGGCATGCAAAGTTTGAAATCATAACTATAACAATAAGTAAATAAAATATGGAAATACAATTATTCATACAAATGCAATAACATTTATATTGTAATCAATTACATCATCATATAATATACAGTAAAATATCAACAGCTTGACGTGCCTTCCGAAGCGCGGAGGAGCTCGAGATATTAAATTTTTGATCACCCATCTAATGGCCTATGACCGGCCACTCCAAAAGTTGCTTGATAACCGTATCGCAGACCGACCGCGCTAATCGAGCCCTGAGCTGTTGTCTATATATCAAAGTTAAATTATAAACATCTTCAGTTTATAATCTTTTTAGAATTATTATAATGTAACAACTTAACCAGCAGAGCAATTCTGCTAATGTTTATTTAATAGAATCTTAACGGCTTACATTTTACCATTGTACTATCTATTTGAATTCCATTGTTAGTAGTGCAATGTCTTCTTTATATATCAATGGTAAGATATATTTAATATTATTGGACTTCAGGTAAATAGTACAATGGCAAAGTGCAAGTATTTAAATTCTATTGAGTAGCGATGATTACGTTATTATTACCTTCGTGGTTTACAAATGATGTAATTGCTTAAAAAGTGTAACTATGTTTAATCCTGTAATGTTAACAAAAAAAAAAAACGTAAACATTAGCAGAATTAGTCTGCTGCACTAAAACATTATCTAATATTATAACAGATTTTATAAACTGAAGTTGGTTGAAACTTTTTTGTTTTTTGTTTGTTTCTAGCTACTTTAGTAGGAACTACATCCTCTGCAGTAATTTTCTATTTCCTAGTATTGGGTACCTGGACGACGACACACTTACTACCTTCGAGGAGCAAAATACTTCCGTAGAACCAAGTACTAGGTTAATCTTTGCTGAGTCTCTGTTTAATAACATTAATTTTGTCTAATACTAAATGCAGTCTCAGGGTAAATTTACTCCAACACTAAACCTTGTTTATTAATAACACAAAATAAGTATATACGACTAATTAATCTTTTCTAAACAACCACACTGTTTTAGGGCCCTTTCTCTTTTACTTTAAAATTGTTTATCACTTATGTCTTTTTATATATCCACTATAGATGTTCTTATATTATTATGCTACTATTGGAGAACATCCAAATGATTGATGAGTTGAAAAAATTTGTGGACTTAGTTATATTTAATATAGGACTCTGGTCGTACTTCTTTTTTTATATTGTTTTAAATTTCTTTACAATAGTTCACACACTTCACACTATTTTGAGCATCTTTATTTTATTATATTTTTAGTTATATTTTAGTACAGCGATTTATTATTTATTTGTTTTTGGAGAGCGATGACAGAGATCTTCTTTTTTTATTTTATTTTATTGGGCGGTCGAAATTTATAAAATAGATGTTATTATCTATCGCTTGAGTCGTGTGTTTAAGTTTTTAATTTAATAAAATATGTGAATATCCCTTCCCAGCTTCTTCCTCACTACTGATCTCTGCCGTTTGTATTTCTGATCTTTCCGATCTTTCCCTACTTTCCGGTCTATCCTCTATCTCTCCTACTTTCTTTGGTGGAGGTGATATTGTGTCCAGGTCTATCCTTTCTCTCTCCCTTATCCCTGTCACTTCTGTATCCCCTATTCCTGCTTCTGCTCTTTTTCTTTTTTCCCCCCTTATTCCCTCTTCTATGATCTTGCTTCCAACCCCTATCTCTTCCTCAGACATTTCCGCTGTGTCCATATCCGTCGTTTCTCCCCCTTCTTCCGGGACTCCGTCTTCCAATTTCTGTCTCCTTTTCCCGATCGATTTCTTACAATGATCGAGCCCTGTGAAGTGTCCGTTGGATGTGGGTTGTCCTCTGGGAATTCCCTCCCTATCTCTTTTTCCTTCCTCTCTTTCCTTTTCAAGTGTTTGTGCTTCCAGGGATTCCTCTCTCTGGCCTCCCTGTACTACCCCACTTCGTTCCCCCTCTGTTGTATTCCCACTTTCTTTGGGAGTTTTCTGTGTCCCCGATATGTATCTCTTCGAGACACTCCTCGTGACTACTCCTTCCGTTTTTTCCTTTTCTTTTCCCTTCTCCTTCTCTTCCATGGATTTCTTTCTCCTTGAATCTGCCGCTTTGTTACTCCTGACTATTGGTCTCGTTTGAGCCTTTCCTCTCCCTAGTTCTATGCTATTCTGACTCCCTTCTCTACTCCTAGTCTTTCCTACTGGCTTTGTATTTTCGTAGAAAGGCAATTTGAGATCTTTCCCTCCTTTTCCCACTTCTTCTTCTTCTCCCTTTTGTCCGGTCACCACTGACCCTTCCATCTCTCCTACCTTCATCCTATCTGTTATTTGGCTCTGTTTATTCGCCCCTGAGCTATGGCTTTCGGCGGTTACTCCACTCTGCCGAGTGTGTGGAGCCTGTGACAGGTGTTGACGCGATGACTCAGCGCCATCACCTGTCACAGCGAGGGATTCTCCGCATCCCGCGGTACCCTCCGGCAGTACTTGATTTTTGTAAGTCGCCATTCATATGAATTCCCCTGTTAAGGCACGAGGAGCTCCTATTTCCCCTTTTTCCCCCCCAGTTGGTTTTTTATAGAGGTATACTCCTCTTGGCCCCCACTAGGCAGTGGCGGCCCCCGTTCCCGCACTGCGTACGGGGTTACGGGCGTGGCCGGCGGAGGTCCCAACTGGAACCTCACCAGTATGTCTCACAGATGCGGGTAAAACCGCACACACCTGTGCGACACACTGGTACACGCCGCCCACTGAAACAACAACGCCCCAGTCGTGGCTCAGAGTGAACCTTCCTCCCCTCCTAAGCTCAACAACGCTGGACGCCCCCCCACATTTTGACCCTTTCAGGTCCCCCTCCCCCCCTCGACGGCCGCTACCCGGAATATGTCCAGGACGCCCGCCGAGCCCCCAGTCGTCTGACCTCAGCCGTGGCGGCTCAAAGTATCGAAAGACGCTTTGAGCGGCCACGTTGCCCGGGGTGCACCACGAGGAGGTGGCCAGACATCGCACCCCAACTGAAGCCACCCTACATATGCCATCCTTGCCCTCATGTAACTCTAAAATACGACCTAATGGCCACCTAACTCGTTTTTCTGGAGTTTCCACCAAAACAACATCACCCACTTTTAAAGTGTGATTCGCGTCCTTACCTTTCAGTACTAATAATGCTAAATACTCGTTTCGAAAACGTACCTTCAGGTCATTCCTTAATTTTTGTAAATATTTAATTCGTACGTTCAGACTCTTGCCATCCAAATTATCCAAGTCCGTTACATCGGTACAACTTAAAGGTTGTAAAAAAGATGCTGGCGTAATTGGCTGTAATAAAATGTCCACATCGTCGACAATGTAACTCAGTGGTCGTGAATTGATGATAGCTTCACACTCCACTAAAATAGTCTCCAACTCAATATATGTCAGAGAAGCTCGACCAAGTACGCGCCTAAGCAGCTCTTTCACTGTTCTTATCCTGCGCTCGTACCACCCTCCCCACCACGGTGAACCTGGAGGGATCAGTATCCACTTTATACTCCAAATTGTAGCCTCCGACACAACTTCAGACCAATTTATGAGCTTAAATAGATTTCTCGCTCCGACAAAATTCGTGCCGTTATTTGAGTATATGGTAGAAATCCTACCTCGTCGGGCAATAAATCTCCTAAAAGACATCAAAAAATCTAAAGTGGATAAAGACGTAACTAACTCTAAATGAATAGCCCTGTAAACAGCACATGTATATAGTACCATCCACACTTTCTCTCCATTACGTAGGAAAAATGGCCCCGCTAAATCCACACCACTGATTTCAAATGGCTTACCAGCCTCGGTTCGATTAGTGGGTAAGGGTACAAGTGGTGTTGAACAAGATTTTCCTTTTTGCTTTCTGCAAATAACGCATCTTCTGGATATCTTCTTTGCTAAAACTCTTATACCCGTTATCCAAAATTTTTGTCTTAGATTCGCTAACAATGTTTGCATTCCCGCATGAAAAAGCTGTTCGTGTTTTTGAAACACTAACCTTTCTACAATCACGTGTTTTCCGGGAAGTAGAATAGGATACCTGTAACTTGAAGGAACATCTTCGGAAAACAACTTCGTTTTTACACGTATTAATCCATCTGAATCAACTATTGTACATAAATTTTTATACATTCTCTTATCCCCAAATGCTTCCTTTTGTATTAACTTAAATAAAACCATTTCAGCTGTGTCTATTTCTTCCATTTCTAAATAGTTGTGTTTTCTTGTTACATTCTTAAGATTATAATAAAATCGCAAAACCCAGGCAAGCATTCTCTTTATTAGGCTATATTTAGAAAAATATAAAAGGTTATTAGAAAAAAAATCTGTACCTTCTACAACGAAATTATTACTATCCACACCTTTCTTTGATAACAAATCTGGTTTATAGTATTCTTGAGTAATTGGCCATTCATCTTGTCTTTGCTTTAACCAATCTGGACCTTCCCACCATGAGGACTTCAGCAACGCGTCCGCTTGGCAACCCCTAGATGGAAGATCTGCTGGATTCAACGTGCCTTGAATGAAATGCCAATCGACAGTATTTGTTTCTTTGCGAATTTCTTTCACGCGGTTTTTAACGAATACTGCCCAATCTCCCTCATTCTTAATCCATGAAAGAACAACATTAGAGTCAGACCAAAAGTTACAAACATGTGTCATACCTAATGCAGTCTTAGCTTGTACATACAGTCTAGTCCCTATAGTGGCGGCGAGTAGCTCCAGGCGAGGTATTGAAACGGTTTCTTTGCTAGGAGATACCCTAGACTTAGCCAATAATAACTGCACTGTCACTCTACCCTGAAACTCGCTGCGAAGAAATACGGCAGCAGCATAAGCAGCTATACTAGCATCACAAAAGGTATGAATTGATAACTTGCACTGGCTTATGTCGTCCCCTGTTAAACATCGTGGTATGCGCACAGAATCCATAAAATGAAGTTTTCTAGCCCACTGCAAAAATTCAACACTGTATTCCGATGGTATATCATCATCCCACGAAAGTTTCAGCTCATATAACTTTTTTAATAATAATTAAGGTATCAAAGCGACATGAGTAGTATATCCTATAGGATCATATATTTTATGTGCTAAAGATAAAATAAATCTCTTTGAAATTTTTTCATCTTTATATTGAAGGCCTTTCAAATAAACAAATAAAGTGTCTTCTTTATTATTCCATAATACACCTAACGTCGAAATAACAGTTTCTTTGTCTGAAGGACCAGTTACCCACGCCCTTAACTCCATCTTCGCCAGTGACATTAGGGTCACCGACTCCTCCTGGAATACTACAGCGTCTTCGTGTGACGCACAACTAGTAAGACAGTTGTCCACATAAAACGAGTGTTTTTATTTATCGGCTGTACTCTTCAAATTATTACTATCCAAATGATATCGTATTGTAGCATTTAATAAGAAAGGACTAGAAGTGATTCCAAATACAACTCTGCAATGTCGATACGTAATGAGCTCGGTACGTTTGTCGTCTGACCACCATAAAAACTGTAAATATTTTCGGTCGGCAACAGCTAGGCTAATTTGTAAGAAAGCCTTTTTAATGTCAGCAGTAACACCAACCGCATACTTACGAAAACCGATTAAAGTTGGTATTTGCTCTAATAAATTTAAGCCCGGTTCTAAGGAACTATTTAAAGACCTTCCGTTAATGTCTTTTGTCGATGCATCAAATACAGGTCTCACCCTGGTTGTCAAGCTCGATTCCTTTATAACGGCATGATGCGGTAAGTAATAGCCACTATCATCACCTTGAACTCGCTCTATAATGCCTAATTGAAGCTACTCTTTTAGAGACGTATCATATTCGAGATAGTTTCCTGTAGAAATTAATCTCTTAGTAGTAGAATAAAGCCATTTTAAAGCTATGTCTTTATTACTCACCAAATCAATATCTTCTTTCCATGGTAAATTGACTTCATATCTACCTTCCTGGTTGACTTGAATGGTGTCATAAAAATAGTTCATTATCTCTCTTTGGAGCGCTTCAGTTTTCTTTGTCTGTGCCGGATCTTTAATACCAATTGTTTCTAAGTCCCAAAGTTGTGCTGTAATATTCAAGCTAATAGTAAGGTTGGAAATTGAAGAAACATATGCATTCGAAGTAACAATATTCCCTTGTAACACCCAACCAAGCTTTGTATTTATCGCAACTAAAGAATTATTTGTTGAAATAACTTCACCGGTAAATAAGAAACCTGAATGATCCGAACCTATAAGTAGGTCAACATCAAAACAATCGTTGTCGTAGTCACTTAACTTAATATCATTTTTACGTAAAAAATTATATACATTTGTACTACACAACTTTGGTAAATATCCACAAATTTTGTCTTTATCTAGGGCTGAAATAACAAATTCAAACTTACCATCGATATCCTGAACATTTAATTTGTATAAATTGTGATTTTCGACGGCTGTTTCGACTCCCCCAAAAAGACAATGTGTAACCGTATGTTGACTTACTGGTTTGAGGCCTAACATTTTAACGACTCTCTTCGAAATGTAAGATTTTTGCGAACCACTATCAAACAATGCTCGCACTTTTACACATTTTTCTAAATATAAAATATTTACAACAATTGTTTGTAATAATGTACTTGTACTATGACTAATATTTACACTTTGTTTTTGTACTTTATTGTCCTTAGTGACAGATAACTCACAATGACAAGTATTGCTTGACGTCGCATTGTCACATGATTTGTTTTGTGCCAGTAAATTACCTTCTTTTTGGCTGTAACTAGGACACATCACAAAATTATGCCTCTTTGTACAGTGTAAGCATTTTGGATAGCTCCGACAAGTATTTGCATAGTGACCTACCCTTAAACAAATCATGCATGCTCTTTTTGCTTTCAGATATTGTTTTCTTTCTTCCAGCGACATATTCTTAGTACGAATACACTCGGAACTCTTGTGGGTGGTTTTTTCACACCAGATGCATGTTGAAGTTTTGTCTGTTATCGAACTAGATCCAATATCTGATTTGTTGATGGCCGACTTCCTATACAACTCCTTTTTTTCCGTTGCTACTACGAGGGTCAAACTGAAAGTTCTTAGAAAATCAAAAACTGATTACATTAGCCAGTTATTAGTTTTATTATATCTTTTCAAAATATTGTCCATTCACGTCAATACACCGCTGCATGCGATGGAACCACTGGGAAAAGCACTTTGCCCACTCGTCCTTAGGGGTCTCTTCAATGGCATCGCGATACGCAGCCACCGCTTCTTCAGCATTCATAAACCGCTTTCCTTTAAGTTTTTCTTTAATTTTTGGAAATAAATAAAAATCACAAGGCGCGAGGTCGGGGCTATACGGCGGGTGACCCAGTAATTCAACGTTTGATGTCGCCAAATAGTCGATCGTTCGCTTGGCGGTGTGCGACGAGGCGTTGTCGTGGTGAAGGAGGATCCTACTGCGAGGTCGTTTCTCTCGAACTTTTTCCAAGACAAGTGGCAAACAA